ATATAAATCATAAAACTATTTGAAAGGTTTTCTTATATTTTGAGAATAATACAGAAGTGGCACTAACCTGGAATTGTTCATACATACTGTTGCCAAGCAACCCGAACAAACCCCTGGCATAGGCCATCGTAGCGACAGGTGCGATAGCAAAGAACTTTCTGATCTGGAAGTTGATCTTCAAAATACGATAGTGGCGAATAAACTTAACTGATGTAAACGTAGACTTTCGACGATATGCGCATTTTGAAAATAGTAAAATTATAAATCTTATATATATTTTAAAAAAACTGGCGATAATGAATTCGTTTCTGAGCAAATGTAAAACAGACTTGAAAAGTATTACGGTTGTCAAACGATTACGGTTCGTAGGGAAATGATTCTGAGAATTTCAGTTGTGTGTACAACAGCACAACCGTCGTTGGATTCATATTGAATAAGAGCATGCAAATTTCATCCAGTTACCTTGCGTCCATACGATGGATCCTCAGAGAGTTTTGTGAACATTGTTAATGTTCCTTGTGAATGAGCCACGTAATAGAGTGACTGGCTTTTGGNAAAAAAGTTATCAAAAACTAACGTGAAACGCCAAAACTGAGGGTACGACGTATCATAGTCGGTATGAAAACGCGAATATGAATTACCACGATTATTGCCCATCCATACGTCGAATCCGAGATCGGCGAATATGAAAGCTACAAGTAATTCACTGGTTATGAAATGATACTAACATAGAACTACAAGAATCTTAGTGTACTGCATTGTTTTCTAGTCAAAAGACTAAACATTCATAAATTTGGAACATCGATCACAATTCGATCGCTAAAGTTTGTAGATGATTCAAGGAACTAATGCTATCTGAACAGGTTTGATTTGATTTCACAGCATCTGCTCAGTGTGATTTCTAAATCTTTCATAAAACTTATAAAGATATTCTACTGTTGTTTGTTGTGAACAAAATGGCATCCTAGATATTGTTTGAAGCAATGTGAACCTGCAGATTGATGCGGCTTATTCATCACCCATACAGAACTGCTACATAGCAGTCCATGCTGTAGAAATACAACTGGTTTTGGTCGATCAGTTCTAGTGCGAACTGAAAAGCGATGAGAGCATATCGANTTTACCATCTCTGCCGTGAGGAATTCGATGCAGCACAAGAACGTAACCATCGTCGGTGATCACTGAATGCGTCTCGATTGGATAGCCCCATCGTTCCACTATTTCCGGCTAAGGTAGGATATTTATTTCATCAGTCATTTCATTAAGTCACAAAACGCGATTTATGCGTTCTCTGACACTGTTCACAAGCGATTTTCATGAGAACGTTTCATTGATGGTCAAAAACGTCGATGTTGTCTCAAGAATACTTCCAATAAATTTAGTTTTTACTAACATACTTCGAAATTTATTATTTCGTACCGCTATCATAAATCTTCAATGCATTTAAGTCATCACTGACCTATTTTATGGATTGATCGAAAAAATAATTCATGTCATTCAGATATTATTATCCTAGCCAGGGATATTATGGATTCTGGCAAAAATACACCGCCACCGAAACAAAAAAAATTATGATTGCTTATTTGTTGCTGATTTTGACAATAGACAATGGATTGCAGAAATTGAAATGACTCATCAAACTTCCCGTCCAATTGGCAGCTTTATTCAGGGAGCTGATATCTTACCGTGAAAATTTGGTCTACGAATGTGCTCAATAACTCCTAATTTGGTGAACTGAACTGCTTTCTGAACAGTTCTCACTTACTTTCTTGAACGTGCGCTAGAGGATTTGCCTAAAATCACTGAGGAAAAGAACCAAAATGAACTCACAACACTCATATCGGCTTCTGGATCTCCGACGTAGTTTGATTGCGGCTTTCGATAAACTGCGCAAACGATTGCTGACAGTAATAACGGCACAATGAGGACAGATTTTAGAGAGTGGACCATCTGAAGACATTGTTTGAAAATCATTCTTGATGGCAAGCATGCAACTTCGAAAAACTGATTGGTGCGAGAAATTAGCAAAAAATGCCGGTTCACATAAATTATCATTGTCCAAGACGGTTGCATTAGGTTTCGGAAAAGATGAAATGATATGGAAGTATCGCTGATGATTTCGAATCGTAATCAATTCGATGAATGGTCACTTTGAAAGCACACTATATGAACACTTGAAATATTTGAGCAGAAGAGATCGGTACGACAGAAAACGAATGAAAGCAAATATAAATATCAGCGGTCAGCAATGGTATTGTACCCACCAGACCGAATGGACGTCAATATGCCTGATCTGATTCATGTGATTCGAAAATTTAGGTTGAACTCTTTGAATAAATCTGTTTGAGTAGTATTGTGTGTTTGTTTGAGCACGAGTGTGCATGCATGCATGTGTTAAATACAAATCTGTGTGTTGTGAATTCAATGAAGAGTGCTGGCTGGTTCATTGCTAAAATGATCTGATGATCGAAGAAGCAATTTCATCAATATCAGTGGTTGAAATGAAAGAAGAATAACAACGAATCATTGACATTGACATCTCCGAAGTCTTCTTCGTCTCGTTGTCGCTGAGAATTTTACGTCTTACGGCAATCATTCAATCATATGCTATATATCACTGAATTATTCGAGAGGTGTCGAAGATCTTTTGATGTTTTCAGTTCATTGAATGCACACCACGTTAAATATCTATTAGTGAATGCATGAAGATGACCCTGAAATGCAACGAATATAACGCTGAAGCAAAACGAACAAAATGCTTGCACAGCACATTAATTATGGTCCGACCAATTAAAACCGAGTCATGATAAGTGACTGCGGTTCATGAACTGTTTTCATTCCATCCAATGTTAATAACAATAACACAAAATCAATTAATTTCATCGTAATAACTGACAAACATTTTAAAACGGCCCATACTCCATCCACTTCCCATAATTGATCATTAGAAATCGGCTTTCAATGACCCATAAGCAAGAATAACTTCGTAAAATCGACATGTTTACGACGATAACTCCCGCAATTTTGTGAAATATCATAAGAGAACAGACGATCGTTTCAACCACACAACTATGAGGCGGATCAAATGCCGAGGCACCCAGTAAGTATTAACCTAAATATTAGTTTATGGATCCAATCATCTTTTTAATTGTGCATTTGCACTTCGCATCGAAAGATCCCTTCATAGACGAGCGATTAATAGAGCATGTTAATGCGATTAACGTGAGAATTCGAATGGAATCACTCATAGAAATGAAAAGTTTCGAAACTGTAGACGAGAGCGATTTCACTTTCTCACCCCACAACAACAACGTGTTTGATATCAAATGCAATACTGTTTTACAAGCTGATTATATTTCAAATTTTGCTCGAAAAGAATCCAGTATACAGGACCAATACGAGAATGTTTAGTTTGCAAAACGTTGTGTGCATGTGAAGTGGATAAATGCATGAAAATAAGAGAGAATCGAAGAAAAATGGAATTTATGCTGAATGAGCACCCGAAAAGATGTTCTGATAACGCAACAATAAATTTATAATCAATCAAAAAATACAACAAATGAATGTTGAATAACAACCAAAAAAGAACAACCAACAATGTCAATGGGAAAATGGAAATTAACAAATAAATGAATACTTATCATTGAACAGACAACATGAATTTTTTACGGTGCGATCTGAATGAATCAAACACAATAACGCGACAATCAATACGAATCAAAAGGTGACACAACCTAAAAAGGTGATAAACTTTTTGCCATTTTTATCACAGATCTACTGCAATCACTGTTGAAAAACACATGAANCGCAAATTTCAAAAGACCGTCTAATTTTGAAACTGTAGAGTTTTGCTCCTTTGTAAAATTAATCCGTATCTCCGACAACTGCAGTAGCAAATTCTAGAGCAAAACTTATTTGGTTCTCACAGTTGATAAGTTATACAAACGAATAAGAAAAACAAACAAATAAACAGTAACAACGCAAAATTACATTCGAAGCAAATGAATCAATACAAGAATGTCAACACGACAACTTTTTTACTAAAACACACTCAAAATAACAACAAACGATCTCTGTTAGAAGATTTAAACTGATCAGTACCTAATAACCTTACTTGAGGATATTTCAATTTCCTCGAGCGTGTATCGCCAGTTAAACAGTTGCTGAACAAAAGCAAAGAATCAGGCGATAGCTGCTCAAATAAATACACTATAATTCGTTGGATCGATGAAAAATAATGCTGGAACGAACATTACTGACAATGAGATTCACTGCTCATTTAAAGAATCCTATTGAATTCCTCACATATTCTCAGTACACTATCAAACATCGCTGTCCACATAAATAACCCAAATAACTCAAATTGTATTACATGATCATAATAGAATAATCAAGAATGCACATTCAACAAAAAGAAAACGAATACATGAGATCAATTAATAATATTACATTAAGAACACAGTGAATATGACTTTCATTAAAATATAATCACTTGCAGAAGTCAATTTTCCAAGCAAAATTAAGACAGAAGATTACATTACGCAGTTCCGAGACAAAGTGAAAAGATATGTGGAAGTGCATCATGAAGAGATTAAGAGAAACAAGGAAATGGAAATTTTTCGACGAGAGGAAATAATCGAAAAGGATTAATGGTGAGTTGCAAAGGAAGGGAATGTTCAATAAAACTGAATTCAAAAACTTTCACTCGAAAATATGACGTGCTCAGGATGGAGTTCACTCAAAAAATCTATTTGACTGAAATTGGCCGAAAATTTGGTGAATATTTTACAATGAATACGTCAACTTTGAAGACATTCAAAGACAATGCAATGCACATTTTAAAAAGTACTTAAATTTCTACATATACCACAACCCATGGCAAATTCCTCGCCAGTTGGTGGATGCTGCAAGCGAAGTGGGCATTGATCACCATCCAGCTGAACGGCTTTCGGCCCAACCGGACACTTTGGAAGGAGTTGTTTCGGGAGACACATCAAACGCGGGAAATCGTCATGACATGCCGCACAAAAGTGTGTGGTTCCGAAACTAAATTAGAGAATATTCATTCAGGATTCAGAAAGAATGTTTACTGATCAGAACGCCTAATGAGCGGAATCATGCCATTCGGTAATGAATCGCAAACCAACGATCATAGGATAATCTCTTGAAATCATTCCGAATACATCGGACAAAATCAAATTCCACGGTAAAACCTCAGAAAATTTCAACTTTGAATTCTCTGAAAGTTTTAAACCAGGTTCACATATGCTGCTGTGACACTTATGAATTGCATCTTTTTTTTNTTTTTTTTGCATTTCCGAAATATACTTGGAATCAACTGGCGCAATACAATCGCAAATAACTCACCAGAAATAAACCGCAACCGAACAGCAAAATCTGCATTTGTATTCTAAATAGTCAACGCCATGCCGACCACAAACTTGAGCGCCTGATACATCCGAACATCCACCACACATCAATTCTTCAGGATTATATTGTGAATTGTCAATCGCCTACAAGTAGATTTCATAATACTAACTAAATACGAACTCTGAGCTGGATTCCTTGCTAACTTCGATCGGTTGCTCCAAAATGCAACTGAGAATATCGCAATTTAACCAGATTTTAGTTCAAACACCGGCTTGTACCGAAATCAACCCAGATTATATGATTTCTTCACTGTCAGATTGTGCATCAATGTACGAGATTTTAACATAGGGAAAAACAACAAAGCATATCGAGTGGAAGAAGTGATCTTCATATGAGTTAAATTTGATCTACACGAAACACTGCGATCATCGAACAAGAAATGTATGAAGAGATAACAGAATGAATATCAATTACCTGTTGACATCTACTTTCACCACCAAAATAAGCCTTCCCACATTTGAAACACAGCACATACATATAACGGTCCATCGCGTA